GACCCCAACGGACAAAACTCCAACGATTAGGAATTCCAACAGGTGTCACCTTTACTGACATTGAAGCCAGCATTGATGAGAGAGAATTAAAGGCTTAGGCTTCCCATTTATGTCCCATGTTGTTACCGTTAGGACTCTAGTATAAATGGTGCTCTCCTCGGCTAGCAAAGGGGACGTTCAATACTCGGGACAAAGACACACTGTATTTTCTATACTGAAACTAAAGCAATACAACTATTGTTACAATCCGTTATTCTGATATTATTATTACCGGTAACATATTTACCGTCACTATTCATGTTAATCAAATAATTAAATTTAAATTACTACTTTATTCTTACATTATTCATTTTCTACGAAATTATAGCTTATTTTCTCTAGCTCTAATTTCATCCCAATCAAAAATCATGTAAGACAAATACATAATTTTGATGCCACTCCATTAACTCCATTATGAGGTCCACTCCATTAACTCCATTATTATCTTTGCTTCGCAATAGTCATTTTCCTCCGACTATTCTTGACAGTCACTTGTGGCTAGCCACAATAAGGAGTACAACAAGGCATTGAATCATTAATAAACCTTTTTTTTTTTTTTTTTAATTGTTTTGAGTATACTCTAATTTATCTATAGCATCTACTCAACAAATTATGTCGACCCTTGATTGGGTATTTTAACTTTTTTACATACAAAAGTCAATTCATATTTGATTAACTTTATAAAAAAATCATTAATGAAAGAATGAGATTTGAGATGAAGCAACTATTGTTAATATTGCAATTGAGATGGACATATATATGTACTAATACTAATGTACTCATATAACAAAGTTTTTATTTTTTGTAAATTTTAGAAATGAGTTAATATGTTTTTTTTTTTTTTTTTTTTTTTTTTTTTTTTTTTTTTTTTTTTTGTCATAGATTTATAAGTGATAATCCACTTTTATTCATTTTTTTTTTATTAAAACATAGATTTTTTGTCATAGATTTATTAAAACATTCACATGTAGTCTTAGTATTATTGTGACATGACAATTTTTAATTCTCTATCAACAAAATCGTTGAAATGTCGTTAAATACAAAAACATTTTAAATTTTTTTAATACAAAGTAGGTTGAACCACTATATTTTTTATATTTATTTTTTGAAAAAAATTCATATTTGAATACCAAAATGCCCTTGTATTTAATGATATTTAAACTGTTTTGTTGATAAAGGATAAAAAATGATCATGCCACACTAATACTAAGATCAAAAGTGGATGTTTTAATTTAAAAAAATGACTTAAACGTGAATTGCCACTTATAAATCTAGGACAGAATATGAAATTAACTCCGTTCATTCATTTTTTATTCTTTTTTTTTTTGGGAATTAATTACATGGATTTTGGGTGAAAAAATTGCTTAGGAATTGTGGTGCTGGACGAAATTGATTTGAGGGGATCCATATTTTAACGGTTACACTTCAAGAAAAAAAAAAAAAATTCAGATGGCGTCGTTTTGCTTCAAAGCGATGCCATTTTAGACCTGGGTCCACCTTACAAGGTGGATCGAATTCATGGCATAACAATTGCGGATTGTTATGCTGTACAATTGTGTGTGCACATGAGTCTAGATTCATAATTTCTATACTGTAGATTCATAAAATTTATACTGTAGATTCATAATTCCGTCCTGTTAGTTTTAAAATTCTTACAACTTCAGCAAAATTTGTAATTATTTCATTTTTTTTCTTCATACTTTTATTTTCTCTTTAATTAATTAATGAATAACACTACACATATTCATATTTTTTTTTTTTTTTTTTTTACTTTCTACTTGTAAATTTTTTATTAAAAAAAAATTACCCACAATTTATATTCCTATATATTTTTATCAATAAAATCACAATACATCATGTGTGCTGTACGTCAATATATCATTTTCCTTAATTAATATACACTGGTTTCTCTTTCAAAAAAAAAAAAAAACATATACATTGGTTTCAATGTTCCCAAAAACAGACACCACAATTGACAGCACAATTTTTTGTTTTTTTTTTTGTTTTGTTTTGTTTTGTTTTTTTGTTTTTTTTGTTTTTTTGTTTTTTTGTTTTTTTGTTTTTGTTTTGTTTTTTCCCCCCCAAAACACACACCACAATTCACAGCACAAATTGACTATACATCACAATGGGTATCAATGATTCTATCAAAAATTGAGAAACGTGCGCCCAGGCCTTGCGAGTTGGCAAATTATTGTGTGGAACTGGACCATACAGCTAACGATTTCAATGAATTTTATAAGTTAGAATAATATACATTATATGTTAGAATAATAAAATTTATAAAATAAGATAATGTACATTATATATTAGAGTATTGTATATTATGTATTAGAATAATGTACTTTATGTGTTAGAATAACGTACATTATGAGTTAGAATAAATAAACTTTTGAGATAGATAATGTACTTTATGAGTTAGAATAATGTATTTTTTGTGTTAAAATAATATACATTATAAATTATAAAAATGTATATTGCAGCAGGTCGTCACCTGAATTTTTTTTTACGCGAAACGACGTTTTTGGATTGCTGTATCCACACAGCTGTGGATCACATCCACACAATAACTATTGATGGGAGTTGGCAATAGCCTCGTCAGGATGTTGACATAGTGCCGCGTGTATAAACAACTAGCTAAAAGTAATACTAAGACTATCTTTTATCTTTGCAATACTTTTTCACTTTTAAAAGTGAGTTCTACTTCTACATCACTAAATCTGTAATTTCTTTACTATTTACCTCTCATTTTCAAAAGAGGTCTCACATTCACATCACATCAAAACAAAATAAATAAAAATCCAAATTATTTTAAAAATAAATCTTTAATAAATTAACCTCCACTCAGCAATGACATGTCAAATAGATCAATTTCAATTTAATTGCATAAACATTTTGTGATTTAAGTACACAAGTGTAGTTTTTGAGTTTGATGGCTCAACTGCATATTCGAGTATAATTCAGTTGTCTATTAGATCATTATTCATTAATTAAATATATGCATTATATATAATACATTACGGAGTACATTTTTTCAAAAGTGTGTGTCCATGTGTGTATAAGGGCATGCTCATATGAGAACGCCCTCCCACATAAAAACATGAGAATTTATCTAAGCTGTATAAAATAAAAGATCAATGGTTATCATTCAAAAATAAAGTGATTATCGTTTAGGCAGATTAGTCGTTTGTGTCTATAGAAAGTCCTTCTGATCTACATATGCAAAATTTGAGATTCCCTTATTCCATTTATTATATAGGCTTGTATTATATATTTAATTATTATTTATTTTGGGGGATTTTTCCTTAGTAATTATTTTAATGGTTGACTTTAATTTTTTTTTTTTAGTATGTTATTGCCTCGATGGTAGTGCGGTGTGTGCACTATGATGCTTTATCGTGTGCACTTTGATATGCTTAAGACAAATACACACTATTACCCGTTTGTGCACATATATGTTTTTGTGGCTTTGTGCACTTACGTGACCGTTTGTACGCATCCTACATGAGATGACACACATTTATTCGTACATTTTATCATTTTTATTTTTTAGACATTGTGTTTCATTGTTGTTCGTTGTATGCTCTCACATGGCTGTTTGTGTGCATCCGTGCAATGTCAAAATTCTACTAGACAATTTGTAATTCACCCTTAATTAAAACTCCTATAATGAAGCAATTAATATAATTTTAAATGCACACACAATTATAATTTTATCCGTGTAAATTAATTATGAAAACAAGGATACCAAAAAAAAAGAAAAAACATGATCAACTAAAATCTCTTTGATAGACGATTAGGATGTTTTATGATGTTCATGCATGTTTCTCATATATATATAATTATATATATATATATATATATATATATATATATATATATATATATATATATATTTCAATATGAGCAAATACCAATTTTGGTCCCACGAGTATTAGTAAAATCATAGTTTTGATCCACATATTTAATTCATACCAATTTTCATCCACGATTGTTGTTTTAGTACCAATTTTCATCCACGACTATTATTTTAGTACTAATTTTCATCCACGACTATTGTTTTAGTGTCAAAATTCATTACGTCGATCACCCCTTCGTTTAAGACATGCCGAAATATGAAATTATTAAGGATATTTTTGTCCTTTTCAAATTAAGATCTCAATTTGAGTATGAATAAAGGGATTTAAGTCCTAAGATCAATCCCAATTCACAGTTTCCTTCCTCAAACTAAGGTAGGATGAGGATGAAAACTGCGAATTGGGATCGATCTTAGAGGTTTATATCTCTTTATTTATGTTCAAATTGGGATTTTAAGTTGAAAAGGACGAAAATATCCTTAAGTTGAAAACTGCGAATGGCAACTCTATATATATATATATATATATATATATATATATATATATATATATATATATATATTCCTTAATAACAACAACAACAACAATAAATATTTGAGGTTTTTATGAATGTTGGGATCCACAAAAAATAAGGAGATCTACAAAAAATAAGGAAAAAATCTAAACAAATGAGAATACCCTTATGTAGTTATGTACACATACATATATCATTTATTATAGAGGCTCTTGTTTTCTTTTAAATGTTTATTCCACCCCTATTACTTAAAATAATTAAACATTTGAAATACAATTTCTAAAATTTATTCAATGAAATAACATTCTATGAACCAACATGCTATAAAAGTAGGGTATTGTGCATTTTAGTTGGACACAAATTTATAAAAGTATATTTACTATATTGTCCATGTGATTACAAATCACTGGACATATATTGAAAATGATCTATTTGTCCTTCTCCCTTTACCAATCGATTTCTAGCATTTGTCAACTAAATACAAGTTCAACACAATTTAAACATGCCACAACACCCAAACAATTATATAATGATATAAAAAACTTAGAAAATATGCATGAATACTGAAATATATACTCACTGGCTACCTATATATATAAATAATATGTAACATTTTATTAAGAGACGATTTAAGTATTTAACATACATGCAATACATATTACATAAACAAAGGTAATTTATTAAAGGCTTAAAGCAATTGTAGTGAGGTAATTATTGGGGAAATGGGAACATTGTCACATGCAATAGCCAGGTACAATTATTTTCTCACAACCAGCAGTTACTGAGCAATTCCGACAATCTTCGTCAGTTTCACACTTTCCACAATAACCAACGTTTGGCTTGCGTTCCTCGTCCTTCCTTTCTGATGGCAGAGCTATACAAAACCACATTACATACAATTCAAGCTTAATACACATGAATTACACGAATTGAATTAAATAAACATTATATTACCCTAAAAATTAAAAGTGAAATTTATTATAGGGTCTGATTTCGTTGTGAACATTCACCATTAGGTATGCAATAATTCACCACGTGTTCAAAAATACAGGATATGGTGCATTTTTGTTGTGCATTTGAGCATTTTGTCCGGGTGCATTTATGAACATGCTGTGGTGCATTTATGCAAAACTAATGATGCATGACCGCACGTTTCAGGGTTGTGCATTTTTATGGTGATTTTACAGAGAGAGAGAGAGAGAGGTAGAGGGAGAGGGAGAGAGAGAGAGAGGGTACGGTACAAGTGAGAACACCTCCCCTATAAAAAGTGTGAACATATCCACAACCTCATAAATCAAAGTTTATTTTACCATTACTAAACTTTCAAGTTGCCAATAATTATAAAAGGAATAAGGTTCAAATTGGCCACTGAACATAACCTGAAAATGCAATTAGGCTACTGAACGAAAAAAAAGTGCAATTAGGCCACTAAACACACCAAAAACGTGCAATTAGGCCACTGAACACTCCAAATGTATGCAATTTTACCGAATAGCAGGTTACCATCAATTTTAGCAGATTACTTGCTTACGTGGCAGTTGAGTTGGCATTTTTAATAATTTTTAATAAATTTTAAAATAAATTTAATAATAAATTTTAATTTTTTAAAATAAATTTTAATAATAAATTTTAAATTTTACTTGCTTACCATCGTTTTTTTAAAATTTTTTTTAAAAATTTATTATTAAAATTTATTAAAATTTTTTTAAAAATGCCAACTCAGCTGCCACGTAAGCAGATAACCTGCTAAAATTGATGGTAACTTGCTATCAGGTGAAATTGCATACATTTGGAGTGTTCAATGGCCTAATTGCACTTTTTTTTTTTTTTTTTCGTTCAGTGACCTAACTGCATTTTCAGGTTACGTTCAATGGCTAATTTGAACCTTATTCCATTATAAAATGAACCACGATCTTAAAAGCTTTCAATAATCATAAATCGACTTCGTATTTTTTTTTTTACTATAACCCTCCTGACGATTGAGATCAATCCTTACTTTTTAGCCAGTTCTCATTTGATCCTACCACAATATATATATATATATATATATATATATATATATATATATATATATATATATATATATATATATATATATATATATATATATAGGCGAGTTCAAGTGCGGCGGTGTCTTACGGTGCGGCATCACTAATAGTTCAACAAATATACACCATCAACGTTAGGAAAATACACCACAAAAATCAGAGGAAAATTAGGTATGCATCACCAAACACACACCATTAGGTGTGAGTAAAAACACCATACACTGTTCGGAAATACACCATTGGGGGTGGTGAGTTATATGGTGTGTTTTTTTGGGTATGTTGTGTATTTTTTGATGTTTTATTGCATTTCATTGTGATGTGTTTTCCTTATACTGTTGGTGCATATTGTTAACACTGTTGTGTATTTTGAAATTCCGCCGCAAGGGAAGACCCCGCCGCATTTGATCGGAACTTTCTTCTATATATATATATATATATATATATATATATATATATATATATATATATATATATATATGATTTATCATAGACGAGTGAGAAAGTTGTATATATAGTTAGGTTAAAGAATTAATTACCTAGAGTGGATCCAAATCCAACACAATGACCAATTTCAGATCCAGAAATCTGGTTTATACAGAAGTTGCCAGGGTAAGCAGTGTTGGTTTTGCAGTCACTGTGAGATTTGCAGAGCTGCCCAGTCATGAACAATTCAACCTTGTTTGGTCCTACATATATTTTTGCCATCAAACTTGATGGCAACACTGCATGCATGCGACAAATATACATACATAAACCTCCATCACTTATTATATATGTCAATACCTAGTACCTACAGATACTGAATACTATGCATGTCTAATACGAGAGAGTGATCGAGAGAGAGAGAGAGATAAAGAGAAGCAGTGAGTAATCTAATATGAGGGAGAGGAGAGAGAAGTTACAAGATAATGCAGCCATGAAAAGCACTAGGAAGCAAGCTAGCTTGAGTAGTGAAACTCTTTCCATCTCTTGTTGAATTGTTTCCCTTGATATGATTCTAGTGGTGTGTGGAGGTAGGAAGGATTTGCAGACTATGATATATAAAGAGGAATCCTAAATTATTTTCGGATTTAAAATGGTACGTGTAGGAGTATAATGCCTGTCAAATTTTAAATTTATTAGAAGTACATGGGATAATAGAATTGGTCCACATGTTTTTTGAGTTAATCATAGCATACCATGTTAACAGTAGTAAAAATTAGAATAAAAAGTGAAAATAAGTATATTATTACTGGTTCAGAGCATCGTCTTCAACAGTTGTGATTTTTCAGGAGTTTTTGCATATGTGATTAGAAAAGAGAAGATGAGAGGGGTGAGAAATAAAAGAAAAAACAAAACAAAACGGGTGATTAACTTTTTAGTGCAGATTTGAAAAGCAAAAGACAAAAATGGGTAGAAACAACAAGGTGGATAAAAATATGTAAAGTACTAAACTGATTACCTTCTTCTCATTAGGATTTTCAAGAAGAAGGTAATCAAGTTACCTTCTTATACCAAAAAAAAAAAACAAAACGGTCTTCTCTCTCCTCATTGAATGTGCAGGCGGGAGGAGAGAGAAATACTTTTTTTTTTTTTTTTTTTTTTTGAGATTTACGCACGGTGAGAGAAAGAAGAGGTTGTTCCAATTACCTCTTCTCTCTTTATTTAATTTTCCTCAAAATATTTTCTCCTTCTTCTAGCATAAATACGGGAGGTAGAAGATGAAAAATGCACATCTCCTTCTTTCACCATATCATTGCTTCTTTTTCGTAGCCAAATCAAAAACAACCGAAAATTGCAGTTAGCACCGTTGCTGGAATAATCGAGGTACTTACATACTCTACGTGACTTTGTTTTTCGCAACTAATAATAATAATAATAATAATAATAATAATAATAATAATAATAGTAGTAGTAGTAGTAGTTATTATTATTACTTATTATTGTTGTTGTTTGATGCATGTAGTACAACCATCAGTTTAATGTAGTGTTGTTGTTTGATCCATGTAGTAGTACATATTATTATTTATTACGCGTACTGTAGTGTATTATTATTTAATAAAATAAAATTTTTAAAAAATAAATTCAAAGTAATCAAAATTGCAAGGGTTGCGTTCTAATTAAATATAGAATTAGGAAGAACATTATCAATTCTTTAATTGCTTTGAAGATCATATAATCACATATATTAAACAAATTTATGGTATTTGCAATTCTAAATAATTAATATATTAGTAAAGAAGGCAATAATTAACTTTTTAATTAAAGAAAGTGAAAAAAAGGCAAAGTAATTCCCTTCTTTTGTGAGGCTTTACCGGTTAAAGCAAGAAGAATAAAAGAAGCTATTGCCATTACCTTCTTTTCAAATAGGGTTTTGAAAAGAAGGTAATGGCATTGGTACTTTACATATTTTAGTCTAGGGTTTTTAATTAACACATTTTTGTCCAAGTCATGTCAAAAGTGCACATTCTTAGCTATGTCTCAAACAAAACAAAGCTGAAAAAAAAAGAAAAAAGGAAGCACTTAAGCATCAGTAACGCACCTAGCGGGCCTGTGCACGCTGGGTTGTGCTTCACACAACCAAGACGCAAAAATGAGGGCATCCAATGAATTCCATAAATCTGCAAAAACTCAAGTTGAAGGTTTTTTTTTTTTTTTTTTTTTTTTTTTTTTTTTTTTCTCTCTCTCCACCCTCTCTCATACAATCATACCTACACAACTTTTCCAGTTACATTTTGAGTATGTATTACTGACTCTATTACAATGACCTATTGAAGCATAAAAAGTCGCCCTACTGAAATTCAAACTTATGACCTTTTTTTAATTTAGGAGATGCATAGTTATGCCACTTGACCATAAAACCTTTGGCTAGTTGCCAGTTACATATTACTCAGCATATGTTGTAGGAAGTGGAAAATGCTTCGGAGGATGCAACATACCCATCTGCATGAAAGGGCGAGACAATCAAGCCAGACAAGAATACCAGAACGTCCGAAACAAAGAAATAAAAGAAGAAAATGAAAGGTTGTGGCTTGAAGAAGAAAACATCAAGATGAGAAGAGAACAAGATCTTGCATATTTTTAGGAAATACAAGAGAAAATAAAATATCTTAGTGTCGTTGGAAAGGATGCCGACTCAGCTGCCAAACACAATGATGTCTTCAAAATCCATGAAGAATCTGGCAAGAGTTATGTCGAGGGAATGAATTCTATAGAGCTTGTCATTTAGTGGAACAATGGAGTCATTCCAGGACGAAACGTAGTCGAAGCATACAACAATTACACCAACTACATCTTATCTGATAAGTATGCAGAAGTGGCTCGTGCCAAAGAAATCCGAGCATTCAGGAAAATTATTAATGATGATGAACTCAACTACAAGTCAATGACAAGAAAACAAGAAGACCAAGAGAAGGAGACTTGAATGCAAGAAGCTCTACAGAGAGAAAAGTTAATAAATATGTAATAGCTAGATGTCTCAACTCATTTGTAATGAATTAAACATGAATGAAATCTCTCTTTCTGCAGGTTGTGTTGAGTTTTTATTATTTTGTTTGCTTAGAACACTTTTGTAAACTCAACTATATGGCTGTTTTGTAATGAAAACTCCTTACGCGGATAATTTCAGCCTTATTGTGAGAGTATATGTTTTGGCATCACCAAAAAGGAGTAAATTGTTAGGAACAAGTGTATTTAGATTTTGATGATACCAAACCCACTAGGAATGTAGACCCCTCTTTTACTCTCATTGTTTTGCATCCTTCGTGTTAGACGAAAGTTATTATAGCTCACCATGAGATTCGTGCTTGGCAGTATATCTACACGAATCAGAGCAGTTTTTTTTTTTTTTTTTTTTTAGTCAACTAGAACTAGTTGAAGAAGAGAGAAGATCAAGAGAAGACCGAGAGATCAGCTAAGACCGAAGTCATGGAAAGGCATATCTCTCGTGTATGAAGAACTCAGCGAAAGATAAGGACAATCTTTCGTTATCATATGACCCGAGACTACAAGTCAAAGCCTGACTTGATTAGACAAGATTCATATGCTATCAGAAGCATATTTGTCTAAGTTTCAATTCTGGGTAAATCATTCTAGACAAATGGTGTCCTAGGAATAAAATTTCAAATTTCAAGGAGCATTTATGATTAGTAATTTTTGTTTGCACAAAATGACAAAATGGTTAGTTACTTTTTGAAGCCAACGGCTACACAGTACAACCACATTTAAGACTCCTTACCCAGAGGTCATTACACGCTGGTCAATAGGTTTGACATTTCTATCTCCCTCCAACGGATGGATTTCTCACCCTATAAATACCCCTCTTTAATCACTTCAAGAAGGTGCTAGTTTTTATCACTCTTTGCTATCTAAAAAGCTTTCAAACCGATCATCCTAAGCTTTGTAAACCAGCGTGTAGTTGTGAAGACTTATTTCCAAGAAGATCATCCACTCATCTAAGTTTTCATAACACCAAGGAAATCTTGCTGCTTTTCAAACGAAAATCAAGCTACCTCAAGCCAAGATTTCAAGTTGGAAACAACATCAACATATTCCAACCCTCAACCCTAAAGAAGAAGTTGATAGAGACGGAGTAAACTCGATGAGTTGAAAAACCTAGCAAGTTGCGGTCCGACTTAGTGATCAAGGATGCAGCTTGACTTTGTTTATACTAAGGAGTGACAGAAGAGTGGAGTAGGCTTTGTTAACAGGCGAAACACTATAAAAATCTCTCTCTCAGTCTCTTGCTTATTACTTTCGTTTACATTACTTGCATTACATATCATCCACAATCATAACATCTTAATTATTTTATGACGAAACTGTGCAAAGATATTACAAAAAGAATATACACATCTTCCAATGTGCTCTAATCTTTCGGGGTTTGTTTTTAAAATCGAAAAGAGTCTATCCACCCCCCTCTAGATTCTCCTTAGTCACTACCGGGGCCAACACGCACGTCTGGAATAACGGTGCCGTTATTGACACCATTTCCTCAGCCAACGATTTTTTTTTTTTTTTTTGTGTGAATATAGAGTTCAAGAATTGTAAATATAGAGTTTAAAAATTGTGAATATAGAGTTCAAAAATTGTGTATTTCGATTTAAAATTGTGTTATATTGTTGAATATAGAGTTTTGTAATTGTGAATATAGAGTTCTTTAATTGTGAATATAGAGTTATGAAATTGTGAATATATATATATATATATATATATATATATATATATATATATATATATATGAAATAATTGTGAATATAGAGTTCTGTAATTGTGAATATATAGTTCAAAAATTGTGAATAGTGAGTTCTGTAATTTTGTATATTGAGATTTAAGATTGTGAATATAGAGTTCAAAAATTGTGAATATAAAAGAACGAATTTTGAAGGCAAACGGCAAGAAAGTAAGCAATTTAAAAAATAAAAATAAAAAAATCAGCCGTCGTCGTTTTGAAGCAGAACGACGCCGTTTTGGACTTGGATCCACCTTGCAAGGTGGACCCGAGTTCAAGGCATAACAATTGCGGATTGTTATGCTGTGCAACCGTGTGCACCATGCATGGTGCATATGGGTTTAGATTCATAATTTCTATACTGTAGATTCATAAAATTTATACTGTAGATTCATAATTTCTAAACCGTAGATTCATAATTTAAATACAGTAGATTCATAATTTCTATACAATAGATTCATAATTTCTATACTGTAGATTCATAATTTCTAAACTGTATAGTTATCAAATTATGAACATATAGTTATGTGATTTGTGAATATATACAGAGTTCAACAATGGAGAATATAAATATCGAAAATTATGAACATATAGCACTATAATTATGAACATATATTTATAAAATTATGAATCTACAGTATAAATTTTATGAATCTACATATAGAAATTATGAATCTACAATATAGAAATTATGAATCTAGACTCGTGTACACCATGCATGGTGCACACGGTTACACATCATAATTTGCCAACAATTGCTCTATCGGTTAGCATCGCTCTTTTACCAGAGTCAACCAAGCC